ATTTAAAATTCGTAATGTATCTTACCCGTTTCGTGTCAATTTAATTTAATCTGTTTTGGAGTATTTTTCCTAAAAACGAAGGCATTATAATATACACGTACTTTCTCACATGTTTCAAGGAGCATGAGCAGATAAAGGTCATTGCAGACCAAATTGTGAAATTGTGACAGAATATATGTATCGAAATATGGTCAGAAATTATAATGACGAGTAGAGTGACTAAAGACAAATCCATTTTAATTTAGCCTTTGGCAAATTCTGCAGCCAAAAATATTGTCCAGGAAGGTTTGTGTATGTGGTTACAGGAAGTTAAACACTTAAGCTACGTAGTATATAATATAGATATCGACTGCTTTGAGCAGCCAGACCTCGAATATTAAAGCAGTCGATATATATGTCTATTATATGCCGAATTGAAACAAAAATCTATCAAGAATTCTTACCTTATCATTTTATTAAGTAAAGATTGGTTAAAACATCACGGAAAATCTGAGACACTGTCTGTAATCTTTGCTGGAGAAAATGACCAACAATTTCAATCATTTGGGAATCGCAGACAAAGAGCACTGTATGGTGTCCGCGCTCGCACAAAGAACATTTTAATACGTAAACCAATGGGTATCGCAGCAAAATTTTACTATTTTCATGGTAACCGAAGTTTTGAGGGATCTCACTCCTGGACTATTAACCGGTATTGGCATTTTTCGTTTCTTTACGGGAACGTCTAAAATCACGACTCCAATTTCGACCAATCAGATGGCTGGATTTCTTAAGTGAGGTAAATTTGCAATTCTTCACTTGTTTGAAAGCGTGAATTTCCTTAATAATGCCTGTACGGCTAATGACAATAGGAGGATGTAAAATGAAATACCAGGTTGGAAATGTTTGAAAATTAAATCACTTGCAAGACATTAAACACTAAGATCCAACCTCGGACACAGATCATATTGTTAAACAACCGTTTATATTTATATGCTCAATCAAATACATATACATTCCAGATAATAAACCACATACAGTAAATTTGAAGCGAGTTTTCAACAAGGCTGACCTAAACTACTACAGAATTACACTTTTTTATAATACAGCATGTTCCATGGCGGAAATGAGCTCTTTTCAAACCGTTAAGAAATTGTTTTTTAAGATGGAAAGTAATGTCCGCATGTTATTTTCTCACAATCACTTTAACCTACAGTCTACAGATGAATATAACACAGTACTACATGCATATAAAAGACCTTAGAATACACACCATAATTACCATATATATGTCAATATAGACAATAAAGAGCAAGAGCTTTGGAAGTTTGAACAAAATGGTAACAAAAATTAATCTTTACTTGTTCAATTCCAAATCTCCAAACAAACATAATGCTCCAAGATCTTTAGCAACATCCAAGGCAATATCGTTTTATATATATATATATATTTGTTTGACACTGCAGAAAAAGTGACCCTCGTAGCTTTACAATCGACCAGTCCTAGCAAGTAAAAGATGACCGAGTATCTTAGCAATGTTACAGATGAATAAACAAAGAGTACTTCAAAAATCAGCAAAGCAAACATAGTACAGACATGTATTACCTCGATATGACTAGGTATTAATTTGGGATGTATACATTTTTATTTAAAGGGTTGAATTATGAACTATTTCTTCAGAAACTATCAAACTTCTGGGTCCTTAAGACAAAGCCAGGCAAGATAAGAACATCATTAATTTGTCCCATTACAGGGATAATGACCGTAAAAATGGACATGGGATCCGATGTTGATCTTTATACAAACATTTCATATTGTACTTTCAAGCGCTGTTGCCCAACTCAATTCTAACAATCACACACACATTTTTTTTTCTCAACTGAAAAATTATTATGTTTATATTTACAATTTTTAAAAATGGGGGGAGGGGGCTTTGTCTGTCAGTTACAAAACAGAGCGGATCGGAATGCATTAGAATATGCAGATAAAATGAGTGGTTGTGGTGCACCAGTCACTGATGGTGTGGAGGGGGGGGGGGGGGGGGGAGGGGAGTTTCATAGGTGGCAACAAATGGCCCCATTTCTAATTTTTTGGAAAGGAGGGAGGGAGGAGGGGAGGGGGGAGGGACCTTTTGGCAGTTTCAAAACATACTTACTTTAAGAAATTTGAAATCCTTCCGCACTATTAACAAACCCATAAGCCTTTGCTAAATGTGACACTCGTCCTAAGTCTCTTCAGATCATATATTATAACCTTAAACGACCATTTGACATTAATGTCATTCAGAAACAGTGTTGAATTCACCACAAAATTAGATGAAAAACGAAAAAACTTATGAAAGTTATTATTTCTAACCACATGTTGTTAATTATGTAGTGATCAATAACATAAATGGTAATGATTTAGATGGGGGAAAAACAAATATTTCTTAAGATGTACAGATTTAAACCTTTATTTCACCATCATTACATAAGGACACCATCCAATGTAAAAGCAACTGTTTGCTATGAATCCTAACAAAGAAATGAAAATAAAAATTGCAGATAGAAAAGAGCATCAAAATCGACAGAAACTTCTTCCTAATGGCTCTCCACTTATAAACACTTTTTGCTTGGCATACGTGCATCACACATTCTTGCTTTTTTTGTTTAAGTATGTTGGTGATTATATAAGGCCACTAAACATAATAAGAGGCAATATGCATGTTAAATATCACATCATGCTTACATCTTTATACTACTAGCAGGGAGATGCAAATTTCTCCCTGATATTACAATGGAAAGACAGAAAAACACAAGTACAGACACCACCTATTACTAGAATGCTATATATACGAGAGACAAGAAATATTCATCATCACATTATATAGCTAAAAAACTGCTAAATACACAAAACGTTGTGTATAAACACGTGATCAAAACATTTTGTACATTGCCCAAGAGTAGAGTGCAAAATATCAATGAGTATCAATGAGTATACAAAAGTAGATACAATTCGCCAAAATAAAAGGTTGTGACACTACGCATGTGCTAAAATGGGCATGAACACATAAGAAATCGCACTCTAGTCTTCAAAAATGTCTTCAGCTGTCCAGGAATGCTAAAATATGTTGACTTTGTAATTTATATTTCTGATGTCCGACTATTTATCAAATACATGGGTTATTTATAGTGTCATGTCTGGGAATTGGATTATTTTAGGGAATTATAAACCAAGGAGCAGTTGTCGCAACAGGTCCATGGTCATACGATTGACATGACCCCCCTAATCACCAAGCAATTCACAATTAGCTTCCATATTAAAAATTGTCAGTTTAGATAACAGATTCTCTTTTCCCCATTTTCTTGATATTGCTCGAGTAATGTATATGTAAGAAATATACATTTACAGTATCAACAAAAAATAACACAGAATGTTGTCATATCTGGACCAAAGAGGGCAGTAAATTCACACATGCACGCACACACGTACACACACCAGCACATAATCAAAAGTAAAAGTTACGAATTTATAAAAGAAGGATTACGCAAAAAAATAGAATTGCACTAAACTAATATATAGTAACGATCATACATATTTACATAAATTATAACATTTTGACTAGCTATGAAACTTTCACATATTATACGTATGTTCTATGTGTCACTAAATACATGTAGATTTGTTTTATTGTAAAGCTGAACTACACTGCAAATATATCATTTTACATCTTTCAAGAGTAATAGATATCACATGTCAGAAAATGGCTCATTGACAAATAAATTATTAAAAACTATAGCTGAATAAAACAGTGAAACGTGTCACATTTAACTTCAGAAATCCACAAAAAGACACAGAGCCACAAAAGCTTTTCAGATTTTTCCTAAAACTAATTTTGTAAAATAAACTTAGAGTGTACCAGATTAGGATTACGATTTGTGGATAACAATAATTTACAAAATCAACCTCCAAAAGCTTTACCCAGCACTCAATGGACTAACACATAAGGAGTATGAAGAAAAAAACGAATAACATAAAACTGCTGTGCACAGAATCAAAGTCAGAACTTCATGTTCCTATAATTATCAAATGAGATTGTAAAGACAATTGCAAGAAATCAACCCAGGCAATTTCATTGACCTAGTCAGCTGTCCGAACATATTTACAATGATGTATTATGTAATCACGATATGATTTCTATAGCATACCTATACGTTAGAGATGAAATTGCCCTTGTGTTTATATGTACAACAGTCTATGTGGTAATATTTTTCCCCCTTTTTTTCTGTGTTTCAACCAACACGAATATCGTTACACATGTACTGCCAGTTAATCAGTGTGACATGTAAAAGGATCTATCTTTGTCTAAAGAGGGCCACATCAAATACAATGTACGCAATTTCGACATATCCGCAGCAAAAGCTTGCATCATTTGCCCAATTGGATCGCTCTGATGTTCCGTAAATCAGATTTTTCAAATGCATTATTGAGATTACTAACATCTGGCATGAACAGTTGAAATGAAATGCAATTCCATGAATCAAATGCAAGTTGATATTGTCTGTTAGGAGCCATTAGGCACGGCTCCACAGACCACTAATTTTTTTGGGAAGGGGGGGGGGGGGGGGGTCCAGATTGTTTGTATGCATGAGCCTTATGTAAAATTTCAAATATCAGGGCAGGAGGGGGGGGGGGGGGTGGCATAAAACCTAGAAGTTGGGTGCCAATGCGTTCTGGGCTGCGTTTAGTGTTGACATCCTGCAGAAGTGCATTACATCTGTGTCTTCATATTATTTAGCTCAATCAGGGTGACCAGAAAAAAAAGAAAAAAAAATTCTGCATATTTCTATTTTGGCATTCAATTTAAGCTTGCGGTAGAGATTGTGAGATTCATCGTGTTAAGAGAACATAGGAAGGGCAGGACATCTGTGTTAAAGTGTAAGTGTTGACACCTGCAAAAGAACATTACATGTGTATTAAAGTTTAAGAGTTTAAAAATTTAACCTAGTCCCATAGCCCGCCCTTGTTTTTGCATTTTATCAGAACTGCTTCTGCAAGAGATGGCGGAGACCCACCGATGACTAACATGATGATAGGAACTCCCCCTAAGCACCCGTTGAGGGGTCTACCTCAGGTCCGACGTCTGCGTAGAGCACGGGGTACGTATTCAATGCATTTGACGGGAAGGATCCTAGCGTGCTGACCAGGTAATCTCTGCCCCCTCGGTTTATGGCGTTTAGCGCCACGGTGAACCTCACCTGCACGTAGGTTCCATTTTGCCTGCATGAAGGATTATTAAAAACAATAATAACTACATTTATACTGTGCATATATCCATCTATATCCATCATAGTAGTAGTAGTAGTAGTACAGTCAAACCTGTCCATAGCGACCACCTAAGGGAAACACAAAAAGTGGCCTTTGTAGACAGGTGGTCTTTGTAGACAGGTTCCTTTAGTACATGATTCAATGAGAAACCATTTTCAAGGGAAGCAACAAATGTGGCCTTTTAGACAGGTGGTCACTAAAGCACGTTTGACTGTAGTACATGCATTACCCGGCTTTTGCCCAGCTACCCTAAGGTGCTGAAAGCATTCAAGAATTAGTAACTATCTACCAGGCACCCGTTTCCATCACCTGGGTGGAGAATGGCAGATGTAAATTAATGTGTTGCAAAAAAAAATTAGGGCGGCAGCGTCACTAGAACTGCAAAACCTATGATCTGATATCTGGTGACATATCAACTAGATCGCGAAAGAAGAGAACGATAAAAGGCGTCATAGCTGAGCAGTGTAAACACTTGACTGGAGGTGCACAGGTCAAAGGTTATCTACATTGCTTCTCTTCACCCAGGTGTTACATGCGTACCCGAATGGATGCGAAGGTCAATGTCGTGGGTTAGAACAGGTGCGCTCCTAAAATGACACCTGTCAGGAGGATTTAATACTCCATAGGGAGTGGAGGTTGTGCATTATCAGTACCGGTAGGTATTTCTTCACCATAACTTATAATCCTTATTTGCAGAATATTTCTCAACATACTGGAAATTTTGTAAGGACGTTGGCTTTATTACCAGCTGTTTAGGCGTCGTGGTCTAGTGGATGCGTCACCGTACTGTGGATTACATAGTTAGTACTTCGAGTCCAGCCGCAGTACTAATACCCTTTGGCAAGATATTTATATACATTTGCTTCGCTCCACCCAGGTGAGGAAAATGGGTACCTGGTAAAATGAATTTTTTGAAATGCTAGAGCGCCGTAATGGCAGTCATGCTAAAGCAGGGGTAATAATTGAGGAGCATCAGAAGCAGGCACATAGCCAGAGATTGATATTTGGGGGGGGGGGCACATAGATGTAATCAATCGAGGTCAAAAAAAGTGGTCTAAAAAAGTTCAACCGATCTCGGAAATTTTTTGGGGACACATGCCCCCCCCCGTGGCTACGTGCCTGATCAGAAGTGTCAAATTTGACAGACATCAGCGCTATACAAGAACACACTACAGTCAAACCTGTCTATAGCGACTGCCCAAGGGAAACATAAAAAGTGGTCTTTATAAACAGGTTCCTTTGCATGTTTCAATGAGAAACCATTTTCAAGGGAAACAAAATATGCGCTTGTTGTAGACAGGTGGTCTTTGTAGACAGGTGGTCACTAAAGGAGGTTTGACTGTATTATTATTATTATTATTAAATTTTTCAGAATTAATCGACAGCCGGCAGTACAACACTTGCTCCTGTGACACTTTCTCCATGTCAATTTCATACACTAACAAAATTCTAAATTTAAAGCCTCTGCACTAGACATAGTCCTAACCCTATCCTAACCCTAAGCTACTGTAAATACCTATACCTATCCATAAAAAGCCTGAAGCAATTGTAGCAGGAGAAAATGTTGCATCGGAACGTGTCGCATCACAATATAGCAGCGCTGTATCTATACTTACACCAACTGGGTCACAATAGTTTGTTCGTACAGGTACTTTGCCGCACTGGTGACATTATATACCTCATCCATCTACAGGAAAGAAAAATAAAACAAAGAATGTTTGGATTTAAATTTTGATGTAACACAAATAGACCAATTCATAGATAGCACATGCTACAAGTAACACTAAATATCTTTTAAACATGGAGTAGATCGACCCACTTTATGCGTTTTGGAATATCCACTGCCAGCTTGATGAATTGCTTCACGAATACCTTATGTTTGCCCTCTTGAAAAGAATACATGTACTTCCACCTGTGTATCATAGAATGTACTGGCAGTTCATGAATGAATTGGTATTACATAACTTTTATTAACATGTATCCAGTCTTTATCTTCATGGATTTTATTATTTTTTAAAAATTACTTTTACCTGCTCATGAGCACATATAATGTAGTATCTACAATACTGGTAACAATTTAGATACTCTTGTGAAAATAAAACAGCTCCAAACTAGTTCGCTTTTTTAAAAGAAAAAAATGGGGGGGGGGGGGGAGTGCAAAGGTCAAGATGAGTTCTGGTCATTAAAAACAAATTTGAAAGCAACTTGATGACTAATTTCTTTATTAGCTTGATATTGATGAACCAGATGGAACTTCGACTGCGCGCAGTCGAAAATGATGACTCCGTCATAAAGCAATCTTACAAACCAAACAAAACAGAAGAAATTTTCATATTCAAGTTCAATTGTATTCCATTAACAGGTTCTCAGAATATCGTGCTTACAAGCAATTTCTCATATAATATATGACCCTTTGATCTTTGACCTCATGACCCTAAAATCTACTCAGTCATTGGCTCTGCAAGATGTCCTGAGTTAAATAGTAATCCATCTGTCAGTTCTATTGAGAATGCGTTCACAAGCTATTTTTGCATACATGAGCCCATGACCTTTGACCTTTGACCTCATGACCCAAGAATCTACTAGGTTCATTGGCTCTGCAAGACACATACATGATCTAAGTTTGGCAGGAATCCATCAATCGGTTCTGATGATAATGCGATCACAAACTTTTTGCAAACATAATGACCCACATGACCTTTGACCTTGACCTCATGACCCCAAAATCTGATCAGTTCAACGGCTCTGCAAGTAACATACATGATCTAAGTTTGGCAGGAATCCATCAATCGGTCTTCAGATAATGCGATCACAAGCTGTTTTTGCATACATAATGAGCCCTGTGACCTTTGACTTTTGACCTCATGGCCCCAAAATCTAATCAGTTCATCAGCTCTGCAAGATACATACATGACCAAAGTTTGGCAGGAATCCATCAATCGGTTCTTCAGATAACGAGATCACGAGCTGTTTTTGCATACATAATTAGCCCTGTGACCTTTGACCTTTGACCTCGTGACCCCATAATCTAATCAGTTCATTGACCCTGCAAGATACATACAGGACTTAAGTTTGGCAGGAATCCATCAATTGGTTCTTCAGATAACGCGATCACGAGCTGTTTTTGCATACATAATGAGCCCTGTGACCTTTGACCTCGTGACCCCAAAATCTAATCAGTTCATCGGCTCTGCAAGATACATACATGACCAAAGTTTGGCAGGAATCCATCAATCGGTCTTCAGATAACGGGATCACGAGAACGGGACGTAAGGACGTACAGTATGGACGGACAACCCGAAAATATAATGCCTCCGGCTACTTCGTAACGGAGGCATAAAAATAATGTGCAAAGTATCCCAAAATTATGATTGGGTTAGGCGGAATTTGAGAAGATATATCTTAGTCTGAATCTTCTGTTGCTTTTTTTGCTTTTCTTCCAGACAAGTACCGGTAAAGCCATAATTCCCTACTTCCACTAGGCCATGCAAATCCCAGATGGTGTTACTTCATATGCAAAGGTGTACTACATAATAATTAGAAGAGTCGAAAATGACCCTCTATTGCGTACACTTCCAAGATAATTCTCCACAGATTTAACATTGTTAAACGATCCCTTTAAATATTTTCAGGGTACATGCTAATGAGTTTTGAAGGGGTAATGGGGCGGGGTGGGCAGGTCGGATGTGCCACCCCTCCCCTTATCTGATACTAATTGTTCCCTTAGGTGGAGACATGGTGCGAATGCTATTTGAGCTTACCGCTCCTGTGAAATTTTCGTGAAGGCAGTTGTCGCCGGGGCTCGGCCATCGTCAAAGTAAGTGCCATAGGCTTTGTCCATGACGAAGGTCCCATCGAAATTTCCAATACTGCGGGCCCAAATGTTGTCGTCGCCTTCATCGTTGGTGGCTGGGTTGGCGTCTGAAATTGGAACAGAAAATGAGTTTAAAATCAATAGGATAAAACATGGCCCCGTCTTACAAAGAGTTGATATCAATTAAAAACCTATTGCGATTGATTTCAATCGCAATATTTACATAAGAGATAGGAGACTGCAAACTTACGATTGATTGGAGGACTTATGATTGATTTGGGTCAATCGTAAGTCTTTGTAAGATGACCCTTTCACCTAGCTGTCGAGTTTCTCATGCTACTGGTCATTTTTTTTCTTCATATGGTAAAACCCTTTTTGTTCTAAAGGACATTCACATCCTATCAGCTTTGGATATTGTGTCCCAGTCAGGTATCTGGCCGATTTAATTTCAACGATCTCTGCTAATGCGATCTTCCCCTACTTGCTGCGAACCAAAGATGGCATGGTCCCCTAAATTTATATGCCTTGCATGGGTGTATAAATTTATGGATCATGTCATCTTTGGCTTAGTCTACTAAAAAATTCTTTAGAGATTTTTGAGATTTTGGTATTTAAACTTGAGATATCCTTTACAGAAGTAATATTTAGAGTAATTATTTTGAACATAGTAAGCTGGTATTGAAACCATTAAAAAAAAGCAAATAATTTTCTGTCAATAGGTCCCCTTTAAGCCACATCCTGATGGTTAAACATGGTCTAGACCTGAAAGCTCACTATTGCTTCCGGTTCAGAGTGGGTTTTCCCCATTCTCAATGTGAAGTGAAGTGTTTAAGTAGAATATGTATTACTCCTGTCTGTCATAGAATCCTGTTGGGTATTCTTACCAGGATTCTTAGAAAATACTCTTTTAGTTCTGAACACATAACTCCTATTCTTACATCTCTTCATTTGCTACCTATTTTAACTCTAATTCAGACTAAGATTCTTATGTAGTATTCAAAATTAAACACGGGTATGCTCCATCATATTTAATCAACATTCTCAAACCTTTTGTTCCATCATGTTCATTAGTCAATATATTAACACATGCTAATTTCCAATACGCCCCTTGTCCCCAACCAATACACTTTACGGTAATCGTGCTTTTACTGTTGCAGCCCCTAAATCATGGCATACTTTACCAATTCATATTTGTCAATCCTCATCCGTAGAGTCTTTTAAGGAAAGTTAGAAGTATATTCTTGTTTAATAGTAATTTATAGGGCAGTTTTGTTTAAGGTTAGATGCTTATTAATTGTAATTGTTATTATTAGAATTGTGTATTAGTATTGCTGTATGTTTAATTTATCTGTACTAGTACTTTGTTTTGTTTAGCGCTTAGAAACTTTGTATTAAGCACTTTATACATGAATATGTACTTTATTATTATTATAAATGCTAATACATTCTGAATGTACTGAATGAATGGAAGAAAACATGCAAATTAAATGAATACTTTGCTCAAAACCTATCTATGATGTGGTTGATGAAAGATGCAAAGTGGAGAGTACTACATGAAAAGATGACTTTGTTAAAAAAAAACATGTTTCAGGAATTTGCATGTAGTTTAAAGTGACTTGGTAACATTGCCTCAGATTCTGAAACAAAATCCTGGATTTAGCTCATGCTGCAATGATAATTATAAACTTTAGGTCAGTCAGGAACCCAATGACTTTCAAAAGCCAATCGCCTGTCTGATTATCAAGATATTTATGATCATTTTTTGTTTCCTCAACGGTTTTATAAGACTACAGTCTATTGGGGGAAACAAGTATGATAAAACCAGTCAATCAAAGATTTTTACTTTTTTAAGGCACTTCATGATCATTCTGAAGCGCGATTTTTTTTTATTCTAGGGCTTCAATATTACACCATATCACAGACACTGATGACATGTTCAAAGGGCCATGCATCTCAGATTCAACATTGTCAAACAATGCCTTTAAAGGAAGTTCTACCACTGTGACCATATCATCAAATTTCCCTTAAAAGGACAGGATTGGGAAGAGCACCAGGATATGATTAATCAAACCTGCAGTGCATCTCTCACAACTGTTTTTACCAAAAGAGGTTGTCATGCCCCCCTCCCTCTTTCCCATCCCTCTCACCTCCCCCTCCCCCTCCCCCCCCCCCCCCCAATCTACTGCATGCCTGTTCAAGAAAGCCAGATTCAGCGATTATTTGGTAAGCTTTGTTACCAGAAACATGCTGGCAGTATAAATAGCAGTAAGCATTCGCACTAAACTGAAATAAAGCAATATAAAGGTGTATGCACATGCAATAAAATTATCCATGCAGGGGCATGCACAAGATCACAGAGCAGTAAAAACACAAAGAAACACAAGCTAAAGAAGTCTATGCATACTGAAGTGTTGATAAAAGTTATGGGATCAAAAGATACATTTGTTTTAACCTGGTGATATTGGTTTTCACATTTTTTTCCAGAGACTCAAGTTCAGGAGGGTGTTTCACAAAGATCCTAAGTTGGACTTATCTCCTTAAAGTTGGACTTTGAAATTATGGAAACCTGTTAGCATCTATGAAAATATTTTGTAAAAGTTGTTTTAAAGGCATAAAAAGTTAATTCAAATTTGCTATTATCAAGGAGATTTAATGTTGTTGATGTTCAATTTATGAAAAGTCTAAAATAATAATAATAACAGTTCAAATTAGGATCTTTGTGAAACACCCCCTGATCTTCCAGGATGTAGCCTTCCACATGTTAACTATACTGCTCTATATTTTGAATACACCTTCAAGTGCCCAAGTAGAAACATCAAATAATATTCATGTTTTAGAATGTTAGGGGGTGATTACAACTTTCAAAAATTCATAATATATTTTAGTCAGATTTAATTAAAACTGTCATCAGTTTGCTTTTCTGATTGTTCTGCTTTCTTTTAGAGTAGTTGTCTATTTGGGTTGGATTGGGTTGGATTTCCCTTTAAAATAAGTTAAACAACAACCAATTGTGATTTCTGACTCCTTTCAGCAACTGGCACACAGGAACTAACTTTTTCTGTTGTCAAATTAAAACGACATGATTTAGCTTTCCTTTTGTTAAACATGATAATGATGCGAATATGACATGTATGAGCACTCACCTAGTCTGAATTTCCAGACTCCAGACGACATGTTCTTGTTTGAAATTTAACAAATGATTCATCATGCCCTTGGAGAAGAAAAAATTCTTTGATCAAAGACCCATAACCTTCATCAAAACAACAGTTTTTTTCCTTCAAGTTTTTTAAAAATTACCGTTACACCCGTAGTCATACTAGACATGCTTGGATTCAAGTGTTTAGTTGTAACCTGTGAAAATAAAATGAAATATGCATCAGAAGCATAAAATGAGTCAGAAACCCATGCTTTGACTGAGGACATTCCAACATTTCAACAAGACGAATGGTTCAAAACCCCAATAATTTCCTGGAAATTGTAACATACCTACATTCCAACACTTTAAAGGATACAAGCAGCAAGTTTGTTTGATTATATTTCTGCATTTTCCAACATAATAAAAAGTGATATACAAACCATGAAAGCAGGTAGATATATTATTGACAAAAGACAGAATATATATATATATAATCATATAATAATATAAATCAATGAAATAATTTAATCTTTTAAAAAAACAAAAAACCGACAAATCATTTGAAAATTGAATTAAAAAAATATGATAGCAAAATTTCACTTAAATTGTATCATTATGTAAAAGAGGATGTCATTCAAGACACATTTCTGCAAGGATATTAAAGACAAATGTGTTTGAAGTCAAATATTGATGAAAGAATATAAAATTGATCTTTTCTGGTACAACAGAAAACTCAAATTTTGCCATCAAATTTTTGGAGAATTTGGGCCTCCAAACACTTTAAAGGGGCTGTAAGCTTGAGCTTGAACGTGATGGCGGCCTCAGGAAAGGAACCTGTGGGAGTGCCCATACGATGAAAACATGTACAGGGTTTGTATGTATGTATATTTTTACAAAATGGCCATCTGAACATAGCTGGGTGTCAGAACGACATGTTATTGTTTGAAATTTAACAAATGATTCATCATGCCCTTGGAGAAGAAAAAATTCTTTGATCAAAGACCCATAACCTTCATCAAAACAACAGTTTTTTCCTTAAAGTTTTTTTAAAAATTACCGTTACACCCGTAGTCATACTAGAAATGCTTGGATTCAAGTGTTTAGTTGTAACCTGTGAAAATAAAATGAAATATGCATCAGAAGCATAAAATGAGTCAGAACCCATATGCTTTGACTGAGGACATTCCACCATTTCAACAAGACAAATGTTTCAAAACCCCAATAATTTCCTGAAAATTGTAACATTCCTACATTCCAACACTTTAAAGCTTATCTGCCATAGTTTACAGGAGGGATTAGAGCGCCTTGCAAGGTCACTGGACAGGTGGTTATCTCATCAACTCAGCTCTCAGTTAACATAAGAAAAAGAGGATGATGGGGGACCAATGGTCACCGATTATGCATTGTTTGTTATATAGAGGGCGCAAGTAGCTACAAGTAGTGCAGTGGGCCTTTAAAGGATACCAGCAGCAAGTTTGTTTGATTATATTTCTGCATTTTTCAACATAATAAAAAGTGATATACAAACCATGAAAGCAGGTAGATATATTATTGACAAAAGACAGAATATATATATATATAATCATATAATAATATAAATCAATCAATAATTTAATCTTTAAAAAAAAAAAAAAACTGACAAATCATTTGAAAATTGAATTTAAAAAATATGATAGCAAAATTTCACTTAAATTGTATCATTATGTAAAAGAGGATGTCATTCAAGACACATTTCGGCAAGGATATTAAAGACAAATGTGTTTGAAGTCAAATATTGATGAAAGAATATAAATTGATCTTTTCTGGTACAACAGAAAACTCAAATTTTGCCATCAAATTTTTGGAGAACTTGGGCCTCCAAACACTTTAAAGGGGCTGTATAGCTTGAGCTTGAACGTGATGGCGGCCTCAGAAAGGAACCTGTGGGAGTGCCCATACGATGAAAACATGTATGTTATGTATATGGTGTTTTTACAAAATGGCCATCTGAACATAGCTGGGTGTCAGAATGATGTATACATGTATGAGGATGTTAGAACATACATGTAGGGGTATTGAAACATAAATATGTACATTGTAGGAACACACATGAGGTATGGGTACTTAGGAGTCTAAACATGACATCTGAATTATTATAAGGAAGAAAGATCAAGACTGAGAGTCTGAATGGGTGGGTGAAACTGAACATATATATGTGCATGTAGATGCATGTTGGAATATAATTTTTTTTTTTTTTTTTTGTTTCCTGGACTGAGGAGAGTATATTGACAGAACTCATGGGTCTCATAATGGGATGAAACAAGAATATTGTAATTTTTGTATTGCTTTTGTATTTTGACACTTTTTGAATACATTGTGAATATCTGATTGTTTTGTAAGAACATACAATATCGGCCTGGCCTTGAGCTTCATGTCATGTTGATTTTGTAATAAACCAATTCAAATAGAGAGTATATGCATCAGCAAAGCAATTATTACAGTACTACGGTACAAGTACATACAAATACAACAACGCAGAAGAAAAAGCTTGGAAGAAGCATACATACAGATTGGATAGAGATTTAGAATCAGACTTTGAGGAAAGTTTGTCTACAAGCATGCAGGCATAGAAATGTAGTACCACTGATTAACATGTACATACATGTATACATGTAATAGTGCTTTTTCTTTTACAGCCATACCAATATTTCAACATTTACACTGGAAATTATAATTCAGAGTATGCCTACCGTCATTTGACCCAGGTCTAAACCTTTTTTTAATTATTTTTTTGCACTGCTGAGTGCAGATTGATGGAGATTTTGGAGTATATTTACAGGAAAAATGGTACTATGAAATGTCAGCAAAATTGAAGACAATAATGACAGCTTAAAAATAAAAGATTTATGTTTATTACATTGTAACCAAATATATATGCACACATATTTACACTTCTTTTGACTTCATCATTTTGACCTTTTCATACCTAGGGTACAAAATCATTATTTATAGACAAGATGCCTGTACTGAATTGTGATATACATGTACATGTGTACATGTTTCCATGATGAACATGTTGTACAAATTACATGTAGAATCTCTTCAATTATAGAATACTGGCCTTGAGCTACTACATGTGTGTATAATGCATTTTTTAAAGCAAGAATTAAAAGCAAAATCATCAACAATATGAATCTTTTTGGGGTGTATACATGTACATGTAGAAGACATTGTGATTATGTTGAGAAGATAGAAACACGCTGACAGCGCTGCAATCTTCTAATTTTCACAAATAAGTATGTTTCCTTTCAGTTTATTATATAACCCATGTTTTTTTGGATATTCTTTTTACTATTAATAGCTAGTTCTGTTAAAAGAATAATGAAACATGAGAAATAAATTTGTGTTGCCAATTTAAAGACAGGCAGCTACATACAATTCTTGGCCTTTCACCCTCAAACATTTGCCATTGTCCTTGGCCAGTTAATGACACTATAGCTGGCTCACAGAAAATGAGCTGATCACATTCGAGCAATACTGTATGTACATATGTAATGAACGCTGGGCATAAATTTACAAAGTAGATGTGTACATGTACACAGTACATTTGTGGTATAATTATGTATTGGTAGCACAGAACATTGGTGATGTACATGTACTGATACATGTAGTCAGTGGAAGCATCACGGTTCACACATGGTACATTAATCAGTAACATGAGTATACAGGAATTTGCAGTAATGTACCAAACTATCATGACTCGTTCATGAGTCAGCGTACAAGAAAGACAGGCGGTGCAGTCTGGGGAAAGTCCAATAACGGTTCATGTGTAATCTGCCCATTAAAAAGAAGAGATATCTTTATTGCTCTGCAAAAGCAGTGAACTACTCCTACTGCAGACACATCCCTTGGCATGCTCAAGGCACATACAGCACAATTTTTATACCCTGGTTTCATCCAAGGTGCCTTTGAATACTGAAGGCATTCATTTCAAGGAATACTTTCCTACCAGGTACTCCATTGCTAATCCTGGGTTGAGAGCAGCGAAAAAAATATTTAATGTTTTGCCAAAGGACAATAGTGCCGCTATTGGGACTGAACTACAAACCATTTGATCTTGTGTCTGGCAATATATTCCCTAGACCTAGAAACATCTACATGCTGCATTAAAAGCTACACATACTTCAGAAGGTTAGACGTACATGTACATGTACATGTATGCATGCACGTATCTGCTACATTTCAAAATTCAAATACAAAATTCCAAAAACAATATTGATGTTACATTATCGGTACTTGACTGTTTGATATCAAATGTAACTGAAAAAGCCTTTGCATGCTCCAAAGCTCTAATTTGGCAAATAGAACACTTGTCATCTTTAAGGGGGTATCTCACTGAGCGGCTAATGCTTACGAATGTTGCGAATTTTTGATAATTCGCTAAATTTTCCGACAAATATTTGTGAAAGGCAGTTGGCGACTATCAACAACTGTAAGAAAATGTTGGCAACAGTTTTTGCATAGATTAGTCAAATTCAAATCCCAAGACAAATGCACTGTACACAGAAATGTGTATATGGGACAACACACACATGTTGCATGAAAGTGTGGTCCACAACCATTTGCTTTGACTTGTCATATTTCGAATATGAGGACATTTGAATAGCCATCCTTTTACCTATACTCTTTCACGTAACATACAAAGAATACAAAGAATGAAAAAGTTCATGAATATAATCTTTCACCTTTCCTAGCACTCAACCTTTGCTTTACATTGAGAAAGGGAAGTGATATTACAATTATATGGGATATATGATCATGTGGACTTTTTTAATTGTTCTGGAAACACTTACCATTTCCGGGCTGACTCTTGAAGCTGCCCATCAAGGTCATTGGGGAAGGGAGTAAATAAAAAAAAGAGGAAATTGAGAGAGTTAATTTCACGTACCGGGTATATATTATATATGACCAATAATTTCCCTTTTCAATAAATGAAATCAAAACTGAAATTGTTAAGTGATATTTTCCTGATTTGTGGTTTCGATACAACTTTGTAATGTATCAAATATAATGCATAAATCTTTGTTAAGTGCCATTTTACAAATTATATCATTCGCCTATTACAAATAATTGTATTTCAATAGTCAGAATGCGAACTGCATTCATTCCTTGTTGTTAGGTAGGACAAGCCTTTGTTATGTTGGTTGGTTGATTTATGCATTAAGTTTGATTAATTTACACTACAAAAATGGTCTATTGAATAGACAGTGGCATAGTAGCATCAGCTTTCATATGGGGGGGGGGCATTGGTCTCAATGAAAGTATGCTAGAGAGAGAAAGAGAGTGTGACTATAAGCTTTGTTGTGCAGAAAGGGGGCTGTCATGTTATCTGGCCCTCTTGCCATTTCTTATCTTCGCTCCCTTTTTGTTTTTGCCTCTTATGTGGGGAGCCTATGAATACCCCCCCCCCCCCCCCCCCCCCCCCCCCCCCCATGGCACCCTCTATTACACCACTGACAGGGAAAAGGGAAGTACAAAAATTAAGAATGATCAATCCTATCTGTTTGGATTGAAAAGTTTGAATTTGAATTTGAATTGAATGTAGAGCTCCCTACTGTATAACACCCAAATGCATAATAAGTTTAATCAGTATCATGTACTGTATGTACATGTATATTTAAGTGGGTTTTGGAAATCCTGAAATTAAACTATTATGATGTCAACCATTTTATGTTTTCAAAAAATTGGTAAACCAGAGATACATTTGCAAATTTCTACAAGAATTTATGTATTGAAATAAATATTAATATGTGCATACATGTTAAAAAAAACTATTTAATGACACAAATATAATATCAGCATGGAATTCATCCAAAACATGCACAACAAAAGAGAAAAATATTTACATGTCATTGGTCCCCTCAGAATAGATTCATAAGACATGATTGATATGGTAATGAATTGGGTTACACTAACAGCCATCTTCGGTTAGATACTGCCCTAATACTTGAGCAGTGGTATATTCTTCAAAAATTTCTTGTACAAAGAGCAACATCTAAATGACACTATTAGTTTCAAAATACATGTAGTAGGCCTATCATTTAGATGTTGCTCTTGATACAGGAAATTTGATCCAATTTGCTCAAACTTTCACTGGCCTCTTCATAGAAGACATATTTGAATCTCATAGTTTAACTACAGCATAGCAACATGGAACCCCTTACATCAAAAGCAAAATATGTTTTGGTGAATGGTACACTTTTAAGTAAAGAGTTAACTTCAAATCATCAAATGCAGATCACATCCAAAATGCATGAAGTGAACAGTCTTTCATCAATAAACTTACCTTCAGTTGCAGTAGTATTGCCTTTAACAGCTTTGGGACCGTTATTGTTCTTCGTACTTATCACAACTATGACGATGATTAAGATGATAAGAAGTATGGCCGCAGCGATTGCAATACCAAGTCTCTTCGGGGTACAAGATGAGCACATTCCCCCGCTTTTGCCCCCTTGCTGGATGGTCACCTTAGGGTCATCTCCGATCGGTGCTGTGACTTGAGCGTATGCCCCTCGATTATTCCCTTTCCCGTCCATTTCGCCTTTCTCGGTGTTGGCAATACTTTTCCTCCAAGTCAGACTCTGAGATACTTGTTATGCTCTGAATTCTGAAAGGAAAAAAAATGAATAAAAGATGATGCCAAAGCTTGTCATTGTTGTAAGTGATTTCCTATACCATCCTCTATCATTCCTTCTATCATGAGGAGTTAGAATTGATCAATTTTTGCCACAATGTAAGTTAAGTGGAGGCTCGTCTGCACCTTCATGTACGTACATGTACATGTACATGTACTTGTAAACTGCATTCTACTTCTAAGCTCTAAGTTCTACATGTACTTCTAAACAGGTAGTGCACTCCGGTGCGATTATCTCACTGATAACATCAAAATCGTTTTGAATATTAAACGGTCATCGAAGCACTCACATTACTAAACTCACTTTATCACAGAAAATTCCCCCTCTCATATCTCCTTTTTTTGTCAGCAGATTTCGCTCAAACTTTAAAGGAATGATGTAAAATAGTCATATCGAGGTACATGTACATATAAAAATTGTATTAAATGATGATCTATTTCTCATTTTATCAAACATTTTATGTTCAGTTGTCTTCGAAAACTATCCTCAGATAATTATTTCTAGATATATCCGGTCGCATGGATACATACTCATGAGACTTAATATTCACGAGACCTTCACAGAGCCGGTGACAAAATTCTTTTCTTCTTTCTTAACACAATACATGAATTGCCAGTTTTTGTACATGTAGATCTACTTTTATGCTTTGATAGTAACAGTGAATATTACATGGATGTGTTGAGGGATTGGCATGACTTTACTCTCCTGACTTTAACAAATTTTTAAAATGATGTTAATAGTCTATATACCGCTATCCAAACTGTTTTTTTATTTAATTTTTTTTTCATCATACTTCAACATCAGATACATGTACACTTAGCAGAGACTCGCATTCCTTTTTTTCCCGTTTTGAATGAAAACATACCTCAAGACTGTACCATTCTCCTCTCTTTCTACTTTTCTTTTTCTACGCTGTCCTCCATTCTTTTGTATTTTCTCTGATCAACTTTTCTTTCTTTTTTTCCTTTCTTCTTCCTTCTCTTCCTCTTTCTAGTTGTCTCTCTCTCTCTCCTTTTTTTTTGGTAACCTTTGAGTTTGATGACACAGAAGTTTTTTAATGTTTTTAATATTTCTAGAGGTCTAGATCTAGTCTAGACCCTATAAGGCAGAGACGCCAAGTTCAAAGATCGGCAATGCGTGACATTTTCATGACTCGGCGCGCGCGAGGGTATAACACATGTATAGGTATGGCATTTTTTTTAAATCTAGCGTGCGCCGTGCGTGAGAACCGTTTTCAGACCCTCGAAATGCGTGATGTCACGCCTAATGCGTGACACTTGGTAGCTCTGATAAGGCCCTATTTAGATTTCGATGTAGATTCTAGGGGTCTACTCTATCTCGATCTAGGCCCTACGCCTAATATTAGGTTCTAGTCTAGATCTAGACCTATGCATGATTTATGGTCGTACCTTTTAGTCATTCATATTTTGATCGTTTCTTGTGTTGTACTTTGTAGATCTAATTAAGTTGACAACTTGTACACATACATCTGACATTGACTGTAATTTCAGCTTCCCAGCTAGTTCTTATTGCAATAAGAAACGAATGAAGAAAAAAATTACTGGAGCTCATTTGCACTGCCTGTGCCTGTCACTTGTAAAATGTACTTGTCCAGTCATGTCAGTTCAAGCTAGAGTTCGAGTCAAGGGGGGATTACGTTTGCATTCGCAGGTACAGGTGCAGAGGCCTATTATTAGGACTTTTAGATTCGCACGAAGACAATGGGGATTGCTACGATCGACGTCCTTTTAAATGTAATGCACTGCCTTGAATGGACGTAACTAACACGTATCAGTCCACGCAAATCTAAAATATTACTAGATCTACGTGAACACAAACATTTAGTACATCATATAGACCAAAAAATGAAATTACCAATATTGGCATTCAGTTCTTAAGCTAAGATGGACTCACCTCTTTTCAATTTTCTTGACTTAGCACAATTGTGTAGCACGTACAGTATAGTACACAACTACCTACTGTCGTTTTTTTATGATCGCGTCTCAAATAAACTAGGCTACTTTTAATGCGTATAAATAATAAATAATAAATAAATCATAGGCTTATATTCCATTATGTTCATGAACCAAATAATTTAATTGATTATCGTATTGGAATTATAAATATGTGTTACTTTCTAAATGTCATGATTTAACAATCAATATGAAATAGCGTTTATTTGAGAACATCACTGGTTCGGTGATAAAATAAAGACTATTTAGATAAGACTTGGCTTCGTGACTCAATGGGGAATCCCCCAGTAGACGGTACAGGATATGGCGCAAAAGATAGGCCCGCACGGGATTTTTTTTTTGCAGGTATCATAAGATATTTGGTACTTTAGAGTGATCGATAGCTATGTAAAGATACTTTAATTTTTGCAGCCAACATGATTGATTGATTGATTGATTGAAGGATTTTATTGATGATTATCCATTCTCGCAGTCCAAAGACTGAATTGCAATGGTTACAACAGTTTACAATATATATATACATGATAAAAGCAATTACACAATAATTATTAAAACAGTCAGAGTCTAGGCAATCAACATTGAAATTCAAATAAAAGTGATCAAATGACAATTATAATGGCAATTATCATTTAATTCGATTAATAAGCAATGACAATCTTAACTAGAACATTCTTATACTATTAAAATTAACATTGAAGCCATTAATATTACGAATTTGGCATGCCGAAGGGTTGTCCACTGTGCCGACGGGACTTTTCCTTCCCTAAGTGTTTATGATGTCACATATGGGTGGACTCAGCTCTGCTGCAAAATCACGAATCTGCTTCACTCCATCTGCAGGTCCACACTGACTTTTACCAACCGGTGTCTTTTCCAGCTCACAGTACACTTTCCATCAAATTCTGTAGAACTTTGCAGGAATTATGAATATGTCATGTATGTCCTATCTGTGAAATTTAAACGTTAGCAGTGTCCTCATATACAAATTATGCAAGGAAACCTGTTTACTTGCTAGACTTCACTGTCAGACACTATTGAGTGACTGGCTGGCTTTTTTTCTTCTTTGGTAATAACATACCGGTACATGAAAAGAGTTGTAAAGGGTATACGAGCATTTGTCTAAATCAATAACCTACTTCTTGTGATGGCCAAGATTAAAGATAAACTTTAGTACTGGTAATGCTATTGCATTGTGAAAGAAAAGGTGTGGAAAGGATCAGAAACAGTTGATCATGACTTGTAGCATGTAAGTATTGGTGTGCACTGCAAGGTTCTAGAGTCATCAAAATCATAATAAATTTGACCGAGTCTTGGTAAAGTAACAAGCACTGTACACAGAAAGCTATATATGGGACAACACACACGGTGTCGGGGCTGGTACTACCTTGATTTCCTTGTCTTTCTATTCTCATTACTCAGCCAGTATACATTTTCTTCCAAAATTGTTTGGCACATGTAAATTATTTGTAATCTTGAGCATTCAGTGTAAGTTTCGTTTGATTCTGTGAGAATTATTATTTTTTTTTTTTTACCAGAACTCAAGTTTATCTTTAAACTGATTGAATCTTTGCGCAGCATAAAAGGTATGACCATTCGGTACAATTGTCTGAAAATCAAGACTATTAATTTTGGGCTCCATAGCCCTAAAGTCGATTTGACAACTAATAGTTATTATTTTCCCACTTAAAGACATTTTCAAGCCCCACCTTTTTTAGGGAAGTTCTAAATAAGTATTATCTTTCAAATGCAGTTGGAATTTAGCTTTTTCATTTTTTTTGGCCGGCAAATGGGACATAGTACCTTTAAGGTAGACCTATTAAAGAGAATTTTGTCCAGATAAAGATGAACAATGATTTTAGGCTATTTGCATTCATTTTTAGTTTGGAAACACATCTTAGAAGAAATATTTCCTGAAAAGTACATGTATCACGCAGTCTTCAAATGCCATCATCATATTTGAAATATAGTTAAAAGAAATAGGTGAAAAGTGCGGAGCAAACTTACATACCACAATAATCCCGTACTCTCCTCCTCCCCCTTTCTCCGACGTCACCCCACCCCCCCCCCACCCCACCCTCTCTCTCTCTCTCTCTCTCTCTCCCTCTCTCTCTCTCTCTCTCTCTCTCTCTGTCTTCCTCTCTATTTTGTTTCCCCATCGGTATAGCATATGAGATATGCCTGGCGTCGATCCAAAAGATGAACATGACCACGACTGTTTGTATTGCACTTCCTTCAGTAGTTATTGTGATATCGGAATACGGAAGCTTAAACGTGCAGCGAAGAAGGCGACTTAAATCAAGAAGTTATTGGAAAGGGAGCTCTAAGTCGCCTTAAATTAGAGGCGCATGATATGGAGAAAGGAAAAGTGGGGCTTTTCAGAAAGGCAAAGGACACTTGTTACAAAAAAAAAGTGCACGTGTCAAAGTAAAAAGGTAAATTTTTAAAGGTAAATATGGGGCACTTTTCATACCTGAAAAAGGACTATCACCTGAGTTTAGAAGAAAGGCATTTGTGAAAATGGAAAAGGGGCACCTGTCAAAGTAAAAGGGCGCACCATCAGATAATAATAGGTGTATTTATCAGAAGTGACAAGAGACATTTGTAGTAAAGGGGAAGGGACTCATCATTATAAAAACAGGAAAATGGAACTTATTAGAAAGGTAAAGGGGAATATATGAGAAAGGGAAGGGGCCACTTATTAGAAAAGGAAAAGGGATGCGTGTCAAGTGTAGAGGGCAATTATTAGAGGTGAAAATGGGAATTTCTCGAGCCTGAAAAGAAAAGAGGCACTCACCAGAGATGTAAAAGAGGGGCACTCATTGAAGAAGAAGGGGCACCTGTCAGATTTTGATAGTGGCATTTATCAGGGGCGAAAAGGAGGCATTTATGAGAAAGAAAAGGGGCACTTATTAGAAGTAAAAAGGGCACTTATTACAAAGGAAAGATGGGCACGCGTCAAATTAAAAGGGGCAATTATCAGGGATTGAAAGGAGCCCTTATCAGAAGGGAAAAGGGGAATTATTACAAAGGAAAGGGGGCACCTGTCAGATTTTGATAGTGGCATATATCAGGGGTTAAAAAGGGCACTTATCAGAAGAGGAAAGGGCAATTAATACAATGCAAAAATCGACAGTGTCGTCAAAGTTAAACGTAAATTCCAAGGAAGGGTTTTTAAGAAATTGTATTGCCCACTCTCTTTTAGATCGCGAGAAATTTTCATTGACTCAAAATTCGCCCCAGTTAAACAAATAAGGCATTAAATATGTCGACTGCAAAACTTTCGTAGCGTTTTTCTAAACAAATCTAGACGTAGATCAGTCAGTGACTAATTGCACTAGAAAGCAATTCCAAAACTTACTGACAAGATGTTGATTCAAACCCCTGTTTTCCTTGTGTTTTTGTTGCATCCGATATGTTTTTAAAAATGTATACCATGTGTATTTTTGCACCATTAAGAAATGAAATTGTATTTGTTTTAATGTTAGGAATAGAGCTTCCGAATTTACTGAAATAGTTGCATATCACATAATCACAATACATCGAGTGAATCTTTCTTTTTCTGTTTTAATATCAGGGAATTCAAATCTTATGCTTGCGACGAAGCCAATTTTGGTGTTACAGGGTTAATTTTCGATTGCATTGTGTATTTGCCTCGTCGGCGAAAAATATTTCGCTGACAAACGTGATGTGTTAGCACCTACAGTGGTGGATCCAGGGGTGGCCGGGCCTCCACCCCTGGGGAAAAAACGTGTAAATCACGTTAATTTTACCTTATTTCGGAGATGGGCCTCCTCCCCTGCCCCCCCCCCCCCCCCACTGAGCGAACTATCGGCCGGCATGATTTTTAAGTTTTCGAGAGCAACAACAACAAAACACCCCAAAAATAACTATGCCCCCCCCCCCCCAATGAGCGAATTATCGGTCGGCTATTTCGCCGCTAAATATTTTCTCACGAATTGGGCCCCTCCCCTGCCGCCGGCTGGATCCGCCCCTGTGCACCTACCAGAGTATTTGGGGGTGGTGTTTATTTTACCTGACTGCTAAGAAAGCATAAATGATTGTTAGTAAGCAACCAGACGGCCGGCGGCTTTAGGTACTCTCCGAGGGACCTGGTAATGAGGATTGATGCCTTACCAAAGGGCACTAGCGCATCGCCTTGGTTTCGAACCCGGGTCACCGGATTACGAGACCACTGCCCCCACCGACTGAGCTATAGAGGAGCAAGGGGGATTTGCTCCTCCTGACAGATTTTCCGACCAGAAAAAAAACAGCTTTACTGATCCCTTAGAAACCACTATATTAAGTACAAAATAAAAATAAAACACAAACAAACAACATGTTTACACATGCTCTCAAAACACTTACTTTTTTCTTCTTCAAGTAAGTCATTTTGGGGGTGATGCTCCCACCCCCCCCCCCCCCCCCACCGCGGTAACGCTAACCTGTGCCCTTATTGGGCTCATCCATAATGACATCAAATTGAAAGAAAAAGTAGAATTCGGCTTTCACATGACCTGCGTAGCACAATGCAATCTTCATGTTGGAAGGGAAATGGGAATATGACAAAGGTTCTAATTTAAGTTCTTTCATTTTCAATGAAATATATTACAGTTATATATGGATGCACTAGACGAACAAAATTAATGCTTAAATAAAAACATAAAAACAAACATAAAAACAAACAAAATAACTAATGTAAATTCATGTTATATTGTCAAACATAATGGAAAAAATTAACGACATAAAGTAACGTGTAACAGAAAGGAGGTCGATGTTATACAATTGGAATACAATTTTACAATTTATTATTGTGAAGGGGCCAACATTTAGACAGCTAACGACTTTTCCGCACTGGCACCTACCTAATGGAATGCTAGACATTCTTGCCAGGGAAACTTGATAGAAAGGGGCTGTGAACTTGATGACCGTATATAGGCCTGTGTGGAAAAAAACAAATATAACAAACAAGCAAAAAAGGTTATCGCTTTAATCTAACCAAGGAAATACTCATATGAAATAAAAACTATATATGTTGTTCATTAAA